TATATTGGATGATATATCTTTCTCATGCATTTACTATATATGTAACAATTGTAAACAATGGTAATCAATTAGACAATATACTTTTGAGAAATTTATTTGTGTTAAAATATTCACTTATAAAAATTATTAGTTTCCTAATAATTAATTCAAAATTTAACATCAATAAAAAATGTTAAGTACCTTATGATCGATTTTATATTACGATATTAATTATTCATTTTATCTACAAATGCACTAATTACGTCAATCATAAAACGTCTTGCATTTTTCGAAGTCCATCTATTAACACACTAAATGCTCTGTTGGAGTTAATAGGCGCTCATATCATATATCAGAAATATAATATATCAACCATTAACGGATCTATGTTAAAAAATACAATCGCTTCATTATTAAAATACACACAGAGTAATGTAATCAATAGACATAAATGTTGCATAATCGTGTGTGTGTGTGTGTGTATGTGTGCGTGCGCGCGCGCGTGTGTGTGTGTGTGAGAGAGAGAGAGAGAGAGAGAGAGAGAGAGAGGGAGAGAGAGAGAGAGAGACTTCTGTTAATGAAATAATTACACAAGTGTAAGATGCGTATACCTATTTTAATTATCTTATTATCCTATTGAGATGAAGAAACGTTGAGAGATTATAGATCGAGAATTATCGTGCCTAAAATTATCTTTCTCACTTGTGTAAAATTTGTATTTTTATTATCATTTTAAGAGATTTAAATATAGGAGGTAAAAGCTTTCTCACTTCGTATTTGATAATTAATAATCTATTAGAATTTTTTAGTATAGAGATATTCTTATCAAAAGTTAAATCTTTCATAAATTAAAGATTTGTAGATAAAAGAAGATATGATTAAAGACACCTTTTTGTCGAGAAAAATTTCATAAATGCTTGGAAGTCATTTATTGAAGAATAACAATTGTTTTTGTCAAATATGTTTTTAATTGACTTGGCATATTCAGATAGTCAATATAACGTATCATTCAGTTTAATTGCTTGGGAAATGAAAATTTCATTGATACGATTAAATAAGCAATATTTTTGCCGCTGTTGAGAGTTACATTTGATTTTCATGTCTATACAATTTTAACGTTTTATTATCAATACATCGTTATATTAACAATCAGTCGGGCAAAAGGATATCGAAACGCTATAATCATATTGTATATTGGCATTTGAGCTACGCTCAATACTACATATAATTCTATAACATGAATAATTTGATGCTACTTTCGATGTAATGATACAGTTGCATTAATTATGCATGAGAAGTAACATAAACATATAATTACTGCTTATTGACAAGGCGAGCTGAAAATATTTTATTAGTACACTTTTCAGAGATTAACGGAAAACGCGATGATTCTTAACAAAGTTATATGCAAAATACTCTTTTTATTTAATCCGCGATAATTCAATAACAAAAAAATGATTTTGTATAAGGAAAATTTTTAGCTTTTATACTGGAAAGTTTAAAAATTTTGCAAGTTTTTCTGGACACGTAATAAGCTCATAAAGTGAGAAGAAAATTTCCCAATTTGTCTAGTTTTGTATATGTAATTTGTAATTTTCTATATGTAAAAATTACTAAAAAAAAATTACAGAAATTCAAAAGACATAATGCTTTTTTAAATGTAGAAGTTCTAAGTCTAGAACTTGTAAATTTAAATTTTATTTACTTTTAGCACAATTAATTATTAGAGCTATTCGAATTTTGAAGTTTATTAACGCTAAGAACTTTTGTTCCAACTCAAGTTACAAATAAGATATAATAGGAGTTTACAATTGAAAAAAGTCAATATTTTTCCTCGGTTCAATATAAACTTAATAAATATATAATCTCTTTTTCAACAGCGACTATTTAATATTTAATATAATTTTGTAATAAAATTATTTAAATATAAGCCTCATTATTTTGAGAATCAAAAAGATGTGATATTTGCATTTTGCTTTATTTTACATTATGTATAAAAATTATATTAATTTTAAATATTTTATAAATTTTCAGATTTTTCTTAATATTGACTTTTCTTAATATTGACTTATATTTTATGTAATGTAATTTGTGTAAATTACATTTCTTTCTCTTTCTTTTTCTCCCTTCCTCTTTGTTTCTCTCTCTCTCTCTCTCTCTCTCTCTCTCTCTCTCTCTGCCAAAACAAATTATTAATAACATAATAAAAAAATATTTAATATTGTTCTTTTCAAGAAAAATGATACATTGGTTATCTCACGACAAAATATTGATGTTTTCTCTTGAAAAATGTCGTATATCGTCCGAAAGCCGATAATGCATCAGGCTGGTATCGCTTTTATGCGCGTTGGAAAAACTATCGTGCTGTTCTGCGATATCGCAAATCCGGGATAGGAGAAAATATTTTTCGATAAAGTCAATGTGAAACTACGGGAAATAAAAATTCTGATCATGGTTGTACCTTTATGTGTGTATATGTATAAATGTATAGAATGTATTAATACGGGGCTAGATCATGCAAATGAGATAAATTTTACCTTTCATATAAATATGGGGCAATTATTTTGGATTTGTAATTTGTAAAATATAAATATGTATTAATAAGATTAACAAAATTAATAATAAATGTTTATTATATTGCGACGAATGCGATAGAAAAGCATGTTATTTATTAATGACAAATCATTAGAAAAATAATCTGCCCTTATGGTATAGACTTGCTTCATAGCAAGGTAGCCGAAAACCAATAACGCTGGAAATTGACTATATCATCTGCACTCAGGACGGCGGGAAAAATGATCGGTCCTATGATATTGCGCCCACGATACTCAATATCGTTTTTCCCACTCGCAGTTAACGTGTATCTTGATAAAGTGAAATTGAGCGAAAATAAAATTTAAGAATACAAGAATTATTCTTAAATATCTGCAATAATTCGAAATAATCAATGATATCAGAAATAATAATGAATATTAATAATATTAAATGAATTTTCTTTACATATATATATATATATATATATATATATATGTTTTTCAGTAATAGGATTATGTTTTACGCATATTTTAAAACATAATTACGGTTCTTCTCGAGTAATTTTAAAATATAAAAAAGGACTGTAAGAAGGGAGTTTCATTACAGCTACAGTTTATTCAGAGAATGTAATGCCCCTTCTTCCATTCTTCATGTTTATCCCGAAACGAGAATATTACGTATAATGAAAACGAATGAAAGGAATGTTCTGTATACCTTTATTTTTCAATATAATCTCCATGGAGTACGAACTTATTTTGCTACAAGCACAAGTGAACGAAGATTATATTTAAAAAGTGTGTAGACAGAAATTCTCTTTTAACCACGCATAATTTTCATACTTCCTAAATAAAAATATTTCATGAAAAATATATTTATCTGTGATAAAAAAATGAAAAATCATAAAATAATGAGAAATCCGATCCTTTCTAGGTTTCTTTACATATTTTGCGTTTTATGTTGCATTTCTGCAATAAATACTCCGAAAAAGTTTAAAAGTTAGAATCCATTACACATGTACAATATTTACTAACACATATATTTATGTATATATTGCGTTATATATGTATATACCGTAAAAGTATAATATATTATATAAGATAAAGGAAGATTGCTGATATCGTTATACTAATTTGTTTTTAGACTATTTTATTTTCGTATTTGTAGAATTTATTTCTAGTTGATTTTACATAAAAACAATAAATATATAAATTATTAATTTTTCTTCTTTAATCACCTAAACAAATTATGTTTTTTATAACTATAAATAAAATACATAAAATGTTTTTTTTCTGAGAAATAAGGAAGTGTCTTTAAGAAACATATGCGACTTTTCTCTGTATAAGTAATTGAAGCTACTTGTACATGCGTAGATTTTCTATGCTGCTTATAAAGTATTTTGATTATCCTTCTTTATTTTTTGTTTTTTTTCTAAGAAATTTACATATTTATGTTCATATTTTTAATTCTTAAATCAAATATTATCACACTGCATTTTTACATTGCACTCGTGCATGAAGGTCTCCATTTGACTACATCTGGTTGCATGTTGCCGTGTATTAACGGCAACTTATGTGTGCGCTCGATGTCATGTCTCTTAATCATATATATAATCGTCCATGTTGAGATGCCTCGAAGGAGGCCCAGAAAATGTACAACATCGGTTTTGCCTCGCTAGTTTCCGTAATATTCCCCTGATGCAGGAAATTGTCGATTTCGCACTGGGAATAATCGCTGAATATATATTCACTTTCTTTCTCTTTCTCTCCATCTTTCTTTCTCCATTTTACATAACGACAAATTGACATTTCTAATGATCTAAGCTTTTAGATTTGGTGCGAAATATCGAGCGTAGTCATGCAAGTTGCATTCGACGCTGGCACAATAGTGAATTCTTGGTGAAAGTTCGCGGTGCAGCGAAATGGGACTTGATTGTTCCGCACGTTTTCCAATTAGTCCGTCGCTTTTCTCCTTACGTCGTGTCGCTTTTAACTCTCGACATGAATAAGTCGTCGCGAAACTTGTTATAAACATTTTGATGTCTCGCTGAAATGAGGAAGTTTACTATAGTTGCGCGATGTAATGCGAGTAAAGACTGAGCACGTTCTGTTATGCTTAAAAAATGAAGAATTCCTCATATCTTCTAAAGTAGATATAATATGCAAACACAGAAAGAATATTTCTATTATTATTATTATATAAAGACGATTTTTTCACATAATACAATTTATTAATATTGTATATATTTTTGCAAATTGTTTTATAATAGCATACCAATGCTTTGTGATTGAAAAAAAATGTTATGAAATAATACAGAAATAACACTTGCTTTTCTAAACAATTTTAATAAGCAACATATTTTCATATTTTCTTGTATTTTGAAATGTAAAAGATGTCTATCCAAAGAAATGTGTGTTTTAATTTAATATTTTACAGTGTGATTCTAGTAGAATGTAACTCTAAGTGAGATTATCCTTTTTTTGTTACAGTTTGGATAGAGATCAACCATTTACTTTCCAGCTTGGTGTTGGACAAGTCATTAAAGGTTGGGATCAAGGTCTTCTGGATATGTGCGTAGGCGAGAAAAGGAGATTGACGATACCACCTGAGCTGGGATACGGCGAAAAGGGAGCTGGAAATGTTATTCCTGGTGGTATGCTGACATTTTTTTATTATTTTTGAATTTCTTTTAACATTTAATATTTATATTTAACGTTTTTTGTATTTAATAATTTAATATTCATATATAATATATTAGTGTGAAGATATATTATTGTGAAAGATTTTCCTGGGTAAAATTATATGCTTAATTCTATAAAATAACAGACTTATTCAATACACAATACAATACAAATACAAACAATTTAATTTATTTGAAATTTTTCTTTGTAAAATAAATTCTCGTTAGTCAAATATATTGTCATATATATTGAAGTAATAATAATTTAACATATATAATTAACATATATAATTAAAAATAAAAGTATGTTTTAATATTAATTATTGTACGTGACTACATTGAAATGACAAGCTAATAATATTTGATTTTATTCATATTTCAACATAAGTGAAACAGTTTCAAATAATATGCGATGTTTAAATAAAATAGATATTATATATTATATACGTTACATTAAATTGTATTATGTTAAATTTTGTACATTATACATGGAAAAACTGTAAAAGCTGCAGTATTTATTCGTTATTATTTATCCTTTATAGAATTTACTGAATAAAATTTTTTGTAGATATTAATTAATAAGTTAATAAAAACTTTTAATATGTTTTGTTACGTGCAAATCAAGCTCTTTTTTAATTTTTAATCATCTTTAAAATTTAAATAAACTTTAATGTAGTAAATTAATTTAATATTTATTTATACACGTTGAAGAACAATATGATAATAATAACATAATAACAATGAAGCTATTTTGGCAAATTAATTAATAAAAGTTTTTTTTATATAATAACATGTATAAGTATATAATTTTTATATACTATAACAATTTGTACATTTATTAGTGGAAAAAAAGAAATTAAATTTACTACAAAAAATATAAAATTTGATTCAACACTTTATATCTTTTCAAAAAGTGTACACGTATGCCTCTAGAGACACGAATTATTTTGTACATGTGAGTAATCAACAATTGATATTTTATTTAAAATTTTTTCAATTTTTACGAATTAATAAAATAAATGCTCACAAATTAATAACAGCTACTATAATTTTATTGTACTCTCTTCTATACTCGCGAGCTAGTGCTTCTCTAATTTTTCTGAAACGTTCTGCCACTTGAAATACGCACTAGTATAGGTATATTCGACAATCAACCAGACAGCAATGGTATTCGTCACGATTAAAAAGCGTCACGCTAACGTGAGCATTTTTCAAATTACACGTTGGACCATTTTTACGCGCGAAAGGATTGGTGAGGAACCGGTAGAAAGAGGAAGAGGCGATGAACACTATTGGACAGGTCGATACAAGGGTAGTCGTTAGCAGCAAAATCGAAGTCAAAAATGCAATTGCACGGAAATCCAATAAAGCATCAACCATTAAATTGAGCATCGTTGCTCGACTCTCGGCAACGCTGCAATGGCGGGATCAACAATGATAAACGATTCGCCTCTTTAGCGGGGTCTTCGCGTGTGGATAAATTGCGCCATTTCGCTCCAGATCCACCTTTTATTTTTTTATTATTTTTCAGATACATGATCTTTTCACGAGTTTATTCAAAATTAATACGTACTTCAAACGGTAAATTATGATAAGTGTAGTTATGACACTTTTATACCACTATATATATTATTTTATCATAAACATAAAGAAGCGTGAAATGTAGATGCTAATCTTAGTGTCTAATAATATTTCTATATAAATATTTAAATATATTTTTAATACTTCAAACTGTGGTCTTAAAAATATACTC